TATTATTATATATATTGTTTACGAGGATATTTCCTATACACACACACACACACACTTTGGCAATTGTGACATGCAATTCAATTGTCTAAGATGTCCTGTGTCGAAGGGGGATTCCCTGAAAGTGAAATATTCTAGTTCCTCAGAATGGAACGGTGTTCATTTGTATAGGATATATCTGATGCGCAGAAATAAGGCCTTGCTGATAGTGCGATTCGAGTGAAATTAGTGGATATGGTAATAATGATTATAGCGATAGCTTTCATTTGAAAATCTGTAGTAGATTCCAAAAGTTCAAATGAAAGCACAAAAGAGGAATGGCTTTAGTTAGCTAATGAAGTTTATCCTGCCTAAATTTGGATTTTCTTATAAGGCATCCTTCCACTGCGCTTTGGTGCCAAATTTTGACAAATTATCTAAACTTGTCAAAATTAACCCTTAAAAACAAGTTCTACATTAATGTAATTTACTATCACAAATAGAACTGTCTGAGACAACTAATATTAATCTCAAGTGCATTTTGTACTCATTGGTATAAATAAAATAACATAAGGCACAGGAAGGAAATACAACTTCAAGTAATCAGAGCCTTAATGACCCTACAGGATCACAAAAGGATAAAAACACAAAAGTGGTGTATACTCTGATATAACGGGCCAAAGTATGCAAGAGAAAAATAGGGATGCTACCTAAGCAACCAAGGCAAAGTTTAAGGGTTTCTCCACAAACTGCCCTGACATTCTGATGGAGATTGCAAAGGCCACTCACTAGGTTATAACCACAAAAAAAACAAAATAGATACTTTCATCCCTTCCACCTTTGAGCACCCAAATTGTAGGACTCAACTGTCCCTTAATGTTGAAAAGTTATAGCCAATGTACAGGACTTCAGTGTTAAAATGAAACTATTAGTTAAGTGATGAAATATGTCTTCAGGGCTCATCTCTTAATCTATGACTTCATGCTATGCAGATTCAGTAAACAGTAAGAAACTCCACTTTTAAAAATAATATGTATCATGTTACCATAAACCAAAAAAGCTGGAGATGTAGCTTACTTCTGTCACTTTTTGCGGTGTAATAATTCCTTCATATGGACAGCCCAGAGCACAAGACACATACCTAGATTAAAAATAGAGCCTTATAAATATGCATATGGTAAATAAGCCATTTCCATTTTATAACAAGAATTAGTCAAAACTGCATCAGGAAAATTTATTTTGCACTATTGCTTTATTATTATTTTATCGTTAGACCAAACCAAATAAAGTTTGAAGCATTTTCAATCAACTCACACTTTTATCTTTCTATAATAATTACAATTTGATACATGTATTCGATGACAGATGGGAATAATTAGTAAGTGATTATCTGGTAAAGTTATTCATACCATAGCAACATATTAACATTCAAAGCAGAAAATACTAGTGAAATATATGGTTTTATTTAAATAATTACATACACCCAACTGTTAAATATCCAGGTCTTTGGAAACATACAGAGAGACCACGTAGAAGACTAACTGAATTTTTCTTCTTACTCCCATCTGGATATTTTGGCCTCATTTAGATACAGTCATTAATCATCCAAAGGTCCTGGAACTGGGCATAGCCTCAGAGTTCATTTTTTCTCCCTCTCTCATGGGTTTACCTAAATCATTCCAAACAGAAGAGTGTCTAATGTGTTTAGAAGGCTCAGAATAAAGATATTCCATAAGCTTCTCTGGTAACTCATTCTAATATAAAAAGTCAAGCTTTTCCTGCAAAGACAAAGATCCATTTCAATCTTAAATAATTAAGCTTTAGGAAAAGCCTGCTTTAGCTATTTCCAGCTCAACATCAATACCATTTTATTAAACTTACTTCAGAGACGTTTACAATTCTTGTATTGAAATAATGCATAATGAGTATGATATTTAGGAATGAATGAAGCAAGCTACACAAAAGATAGAAGGATGGTGGGAAATGAGGCTGGAGATCGAATACAGGGGCTACAATATGAAAGGGTTTAGAAAGCAAAGCCTTTGAATGCCATTCCAAGTTGTCTGGACTTTGAGATCACTCAAAATTGTTTTGAGGCACTGAAAATTATTAGGTAAGGTAGTGGCAAGAGCAGATTTCTTTCCCAGAAATATAACTCTGGGGGGGCAGTGGAAGCAGATGCCAGAGAAAAGGTAGAGGCAAAAACACAAGATAATATCCTATTTCCTTAATTCTAATATGCTATTGATTGGAAGATGCACTATGAAATTCCTAACAGTCTTTGGAGTAGAAAAATAAAATACATATTCAATGATTCAGTACATAGCCATTGATTCTAAGATGTAACCAAATTAGGTTACAGAAATTATGGAAGTGTTAAAATGTCAATTAAAATATGTTTTAGTATTAAGTAGTTTTATAAGCCATTCAAGCAGTTATGAGGGATAGGAAAGGATAAAAGGGGATAAATTCAAGTAAAATTTGAAAGTTATGCTGAACAGGAAGCTCATTCCTCTGCTATTTCAATCACTATAATCTAAGTTTATGCTTTAGATAATCTGTAAATTTAATCAAGATGTGTGAAAATAAAATGTTCTTAAATGAACATAACACTGGAGAAGGTGGCTAAGGATGGAAAAGGAGAAAAAGTTTTAATACAAATGTAATGATTACAATAACATGCTAATATATAAATACATTGATTTTTGAAACCAAAGCATCTAGATTTGAGTAAATGGAAAATCCAAGCTATTTATTTACATGTTCTCCTTCTAAATGTGAAAAACAAAATAAAACAAATGCAAAACAAAACAAACCTCTCCTGCATTTCCAAATTATTATTTGGCCACAGCTACCACTTTATTGACAGAACCTTAACTTTCTATGTGGGCATTTTTATTTATTCACACTTTCCCTCCAGGACATTTCCATGCCTCTGTCTCTGCGATCTTCACACTCTGTTGCATTTCATGTTCATATGCTCTTCCCTATCTTGTGAGGGAATGCTGCTTTGATCTAGTCATACATGGGACTACTTTCTCCAAAGCTAAAGCAATGGTTCTCAATTATGTTCCCTTAACTGTATACTTTAACATTCTAAAGCAGAGGTTGGTACACTAAGGCCCAGAGACCAAATTCAGCCTATCACTCTTTTACAAATAACATTGTATTAGAATACAGCCATGCCCATCTGTTTGCATACTTATCTATGGCTGCTTTTACACTACAGCAGAGTTGAGCAGTTGTAACAGAAATCATCTGAGCCACAACACCTAAAATGTTATTATCTGGAACTTTACAGAAAAAGTTTGCCAACCCTTTCTAAAGAAGTCAAGCTACTTTTCCTGAGTGAGAAAAGGCCTCTACTGTCATGAATATGAACTGAATTCTCTTCTTTGACAAGTGGCCAAGGCCAGCTTCTGGACTTCTGCTCTTCTCTAACAATCTATTACAGTGGTTCTCAACCTTGCCTGCATAGAATCACCTTGGTGCTTTAAAAAAGACAAACACTGATGCTTAGGATATGTTCCAAAACATTTAAACTAGAAACTGAGGGAATGAAATCCAACCACCAATATATTCTTTTATATAATTTTTAAAGTTCTATTATACCGCCAACATCAAAAATCACTCAACTATTAGCAATACTGCATCACCTGGATTGCCATACTGATTCCTTTGTGTAAAAAGTTATATTACATGGACCTGACAGCATCTAACTAATCTCAGGAATTTCCTCACTACTATGCCATAATATTTTTGTTCAGCTTTGATTGCCTGGTGGCTAAGTTTTACCCAGACCCATTCCAAATAATTTCTACTTTTCTGAAGCTGCAAACTCCTATTGCTCCATTTATTTTTTTTCATCTTATCCCTTACTTCTGGTTCAATGTTTTTGACTTAACTGAATACTTTAGTAGTTCTTTCAGCAAGAGTCTGAATGGTAGATGTTGCAGACTGTTTCGTCAGCAAATGGTTTTATTTCATCTTCATTCTTGAACAATAGTTTGACTAGGTATAAAATTCTATGTTGACAGTTATCTTGGCACATTGAATATATTATTTTACTGTCTCTGGTCTCAGGTATTGCTGATAGGAATTTTACTGTCAAGCTAATTCTTTTATGGTAATCTATTTTTTTCTCTACTGTTTTTGGGATTATCTGTTTTTATCTTATCTGCATTTTACTATTAGCTATCTCAGGATTTGCTATACTTCTTCAATATTAACATTAGTGCTTTTCCTAATTTCTAGAAAATTCTCAAGGTACTACCTTTTCAAACGTATTTCTCATATCTATTTTCTCTGTTTACTCCATATGGAAATTCTACTAGGCATTGTCTACTAACCTCACTTTTACAATTTCTATTAATTTATTTTTCTGGGCTTCATTCTTACAATTTTCTCAAATCTTAATTGCAGGTTAAGCTGCACTTAATCTGCTGTTCCCTTTGGTTACATGTAATTTGCTGTTCAATTAATCCATTCACTTTTGTATTTTAATGAATATATTTCCACTTATAGATAATGTTTCGTTTTGTCAAATACTAATTTTGTTTTCTGTAAAGATCTGTTCTTATGGTCTTCCTTTGCCTCTATGAACATTTCACATGGTTAATTTATAATCATTTTCAGGTTGTTCTGTTACCTTCTGTTCTGCTATAGTTTTTTTTTTTTTTTTCTGTTGTCTCCTGTGTTTGTTTTCCTTGTCTTAAGTTAGCTTATTTTCTCATGTGCTTTATAGTTTTTATTGTGAGTGCCTTTTCATGGTAATTTTAGTTTCTGTAGGAATTCTATGAGCATCTTGAATTATTTAAATGATCCTATCAAAAGAATCTGATTGCTTTCTGCCCTTACGCTGTGGAATTTATCAATTCTTGAACAAATTTCTACCTTAATTTCTCAATTTGGGTTTCCACAATACTCATGTGTCACAAATCCACAACCCATAAAAATAGCTGGCATGAATCTCAATGACTGTGCATTGGCAAGGAGGTGCTGCCAGACTCCAAGACATAGTTCCAAATTCATACCTTAGCAGAACATCGAATTTTTCTCATGTAGATATTAAAATCCCATTACCACACTACTAGGTACTCTTTCTAGGATAGATACCCCCATGTGCTTCTGTGGTATCAGCCTACATGATTACCACATTTTCATTGATGAAACCTGAGACTTTTTTTTTTTTTTCTGAGCTAGGTGATATATTTTAAAAGTTATAAATTTTCTGTGTGTGTAATGAGAATGGAAAAGGGGGTCTATGGATTAGCTAAGTCCTCCATAGTCCCTCTCGCTCACCATTATGCCCATAACCCCAGGATCAACCCTAAAGTTCCTCATGTATATTACAAGCTTGATGCATTCACATAGCATATTTAGTTAAACATGTCTGAAGTGGTCATCGTCCTTATTTCTCTCACATAAACCTGTTTCCCCTGCATTTGCCATTAAAAAAAATTACATAGTTATTCTCAGGGTCAGTCCTGCTAAGTCACTTGATGGTCACCTTTGTGAATTTATTCCATAACCAAGGGTTAGCTGATTCCTCCCCTCTAGCCTCTGCAGCATTTAGCCTCTGCCAGCAGCACCTTGAGTGTACAGAACCATTCCCAAGAACCCTCTCCTAAGTGCTCTCCTTGTTTCTAGTCCCATGTCTCTCCATTTTGCTTCAATTTCTAAGGTCAAAATTATATTCTTAGAGCATGGGTCCGATTACATATTTTTCTTTGAAAATCTTTAATGGCTTGCTATTTGTTACTGAATAAACTGGTGTTCAAGTTTAGCAATCTGTGAAACTCCAATCTAACCTTCTACCTTTCTCTTACTATACATCCACAAAAACTTTATTTCAATAAAAAGTAAACTTCTTTCTATTACCCAAACCTTTCCTGAGATTTCTCTTCACTGTGTCTTTGCTCTTTGTAGGTTCCCTGCCCAGACTGAAAAAGCCATTATTTTGATTATGTTTCCATATATTCATACATTTTAATGACTTCATTGTACTGGTAACTTCTTTATGAAATTTCTCTAAATCACCCCAGAGATTAGAATTACTTTAAAATTAAATAGTATGTATCTTTATCTCTCTTAATGTACTTACTGGTTTCGGCAGTACAATAATTATTTTTGAACATATTA